CGGGTGGGGAGATGGTGGAGACGCAGTTGGGGAGATGGTGGGGAGATGGTGGGGAAGCAGGTGGGGAGACGGTGGGGAAGCAGGTGGGGAGATGGTGGGGAAGCAGGGAATGGCTTAGGAGGCAGAGACCCAGGGAAGGAGGAGCTGAAGTTTCTGACTCTTGCTAAGAAGGCGGTTTAAATTAAACACCTGTGGTTCGATCACATCGTTTGAAGCTGTTGCACCTGTACAAAAAGTGCAGGTATTTATGCGGGAAACTGCCCAGTGCCAGTCGGTTCTCATTGCAGAGGTTCCACCCGTTCACGCGGCAGGAAGACATTCACGTACCGGTAGTTCCGTCCGCTGATCATTTCAACGGCTTCATTACAAATCTCGGCAGAAAGAGTTAAAATGTTAACTTACTAGGAAAGTGTATTGTAAAGGCAGAGGCACATTTAGGAGAAAGAAAAGCTCTTCTAAGGATCATTTTGGTGAGAGGCGAGGAAAGCCTCAGAAGGGCCTGGACCCACGATCGCTTCATGTGGACACAGTGTTATGTGCGCGTAAAGGGTGGGAAATGGGCCGCTTCCCATGAATATTCAGCCAATAGAGTTGTTACCGGCAATCCTGTTTCCCTGAGCTCCGCTCAGAGGGATTTCCGAGAGCCGGGAACCGATTTCACAGGCCAGGCTGGAGGTCAGCTTCAAAGCCGCCAGCGGGACGGGCACTGAAGCGGGTCAGAGCGCGGGCGTCCCTGGCTACCCAGGAGGGGACGGCCGGGCACAGATTGTCCCTGGGAAGGTAACCAATTCGGTCCCAGCATCACACATTCCTCAGAGGAATCCTTCCCCGAGTCTGAGGCGCTGACAATGGCGCTTAGATGAGATCAAGTCAAAATGAAGTCGACAGATAGATTCTGAGTAAACGACATCGTGCTTAACACCAGCCGTCAGGACGAGGTGTGACGCGGTGTGAGCATGTAACACAGGCTTTGTACCTCACGTCGCATGGATGGACTCTTCCCCAAGGGGTTTCTAATCAACGCCGTTAGCGTGCTGGGGCGTCGGGAAGACTTTACACCGGGCGTTCCGCTCCCGGACCCGCTGAGAAGGCGTTTCTAAAGACAGCCCGTCAGCGAGGGACCTGTGAGTGCGTCCGCGGTGTCCCGTTCACCCTGTTGCATGACCGTGTGGGCGATGGCCCACCTACTGCGTTTGGAAAACCAGATGCGTCTTCAGTTAAGAAATGTTTGGTTGGAAAGCCGCTGCCGATGTCGCTGTTTGAAAGCCTGGTGACTCGGGGTTTCGTTCATCCCTGTGGTGGGTGAATTCTCAGGGGATTGTCTTCATGGTGGGTAGGTATCCATCCGGCAACTGAAAAGCTGAGCCATCTCACATGTTCACGCGTGGACACCTGTAGGCCTGGGCATGACGGTGACGACGCCCAGGAGGGCGCTGTCTCCCAGGACTAAGAGTTCACACTCAGGAACCAAGGGCTGCGAGGGAGTGATCGCGGACAGAGAGGGGGGTCTGGGTGGCCAGCCGCATTTCCATTATTTCCGTGTCCATGGGAATGGAAAGGAGAAATGTGCTTCCCTGGGGGCAGTGAGCGGCAGGCGAGGGCAGCATTTCTCCAGACCCCGCCCTATGTGGCTCTCGGAACACAGGATCCTGGTCTATTTTGTTTTGTGTGTTTTTAAATATTTTTTAATTGATTTTAGAGAAGGGAGAGGGGGAGAGAGAGAGAAGCATTAATGATGAGAGAGAACATTGATCAGCTGCCTCCTGTACGCCCACACTAGGGATTGAGCAGCAACCCGGGCCTGTGTCTTGACCGGGAATTGAACTGTGACCTCCTGGTTCATAGGTCGTCACTCAACCACGGATCCCTGCCAGCCGGGCCCTAGTGACGGTGCAATCAGTTTGCCTGACGTGATGACTTAGGAAAATGAAGCTGACCTTCTCTCCTGTTAGTTCTCACTTTTTCTTAGTTTCTCAAACCAAGTTTAAATGATCAATGTTAAAACTGGGGCTCAGGCGGACATTTGATTTCCTATTATTGACTATTGATTTGAAAGGAAAACGGCTCCCCTCCTACAGAGGAGCCAGTTGCAGTGTTTCATGTTCCAAACGTCGTCACGTGTTGGGTCCCAACATTCCTCTGATTCGCTTGGTCTTTCCACTTGAAGGTACTTTTTCCTTTAGAGCGACTGTTTCTTTTTAAAAATATATATTTTTATTGATTTTAGTGAGAGGAAGGGAAAGGGGGAGAGAGAGAGAAGCATCAGTGATGAGAGAGAGTCATGGACCGGCTGCCTCCTGCACGCCCCCCACTGGGGATGGAGCCCACAACCCGGGCCTGTGCCCTGACCGGGATTCGACCCCTGACCTCCTGGGTCATAGGTCGATGCCCCACCACGGAGCCGCGGCGGCCAGGCTGAGCCACGATTTCCATTTCCTTCCTTTAAACTCTCACCTGTTTGAAGCTCCTGTTTGCCGTACAGGGTGGACATGGGGTGCTATAGGAGGGAATCTAAGGCTTGAGGGAGACATCGCAGCCCCCCCCCCCACCATGTGCAGTGGGAGGGACAAAGCTGGGGGCCGGGTGCTTATCCAGGGCCGTGTGTTGGTGGTTTGGTTGAGACGGAGACTCTGGTCCTGCGTCTCTCTACACCATGCTGTCCACTCTATCATATGCACCCGAGGGCACCCGATGTGCCCACAACCGCCCTCGAGTCAGAATGGGGCTCAAGACGGGCTCATTGACCTGACATTGTCCATGGTGCTGGCATCAGCTGGGCCGTGGTGCGGGGGGAAGGGCTGGGCACATGGACTGGAATAAAGAGTGTCAGTGGCAGCTGCAAACCAGGGTCTGAGTGCTGAGCGGCACCCACTTGCCAACGAGAGCTCAGGAAACTGTTCCTTTAGCCGCCGGATGCGTTCCACACTGCTGTCGCCTCCCCCGGGCGGGCAGGCGGGCGGAAGTAACTCTCCTCTGTGTGTTTGCAGCTCGGACGTGCGGGTCCAACCTGCGGGGGCCCAGCGGCACCATCACCTCCCCCAACTACCCGGTGCAGTACGAGGACAACGCCCACTGCGTGTGGGTCATCACCGCCTCGGACCCCGACAAGGTAAGGCTCGCCTCTGTGTGGCGGGCGCAGCGGCAGCCGGGTTTTTTTTGGACGACAGACGGACAGCCGGGCGGTGTCCCGCGCCCCGACCTTTGGTTGCTGGGGCTGAACAGTGAAAGCTGGGCTGTGTGTCCGTCTGTCCCCCTGGGCTGGAAGCCAGCCCGGAATCCCACCGGGAAGGGAGACCCCCGTGCGGCCCTCCTGGGTGTGGTGGGTGTGTCCTGTTCCCTCCTCCCGGCCTCACCGAGAGTGTGGACGGCCCCGCTGCTCTGTCCCGGTGCAGGACATAGGATGTGACATGTGCACAGGTGCTGAGGCGGTCGCCACGCGCACTGAGTGAGCACACATCGCTCACGTAGCTGTGGATTTGCTTGTGCTGGGAACTTCAGTGTCTTCTCTCTCAGCCACGTCTAAGCGCGTCCATGAAGCAGCACCAAGGCCAGGCGGGCCTGGTGGAGCGGAGGTGCTGGGGGGGGGTGTGTTCTGCAAGGCTCTGCAGACCCCCCTCCCCACCCCACGTGGCGTGGAACTTTGCTGGCCTGTGCGATGGGGAATCTTAGCCGGGCCGAACCAGGGAGGCATGGCAGCATGCTCAGTGCATCCTCACGTTCTGTGTGGAGCACGGGGGACGGTGCTGGTGCGGCCGTGGGGAGAGCACCCCAGGTGACAGAGGCTGGGGGTCAGGCAGCTGGGACCTGCTGCAGGTGCAGAGGTCACCCTAGGGTGCGGGTGGGAGTCTCTCCACCCCTCTCTCCAGCTGCGTGGCCAGGCAAACAGCCGACTGCGTGGAGCCCGGCTTTGCCATGGAGTCACCGGCACTCACCCCCACAGCTGCGGTGAGAACCTAAAGCCCTGCAGCAGCTGACACTGCCGCCCCGCCCCTCCTCTTCGTCATTGTTACTAAGTGACCATTAAAGCCCGGACCTGGAGGCCAGGGGATGGCTTCCCGTTTGATGCCAGTGGAAGTGGGGGGCCCTGTGGTGCCCAGGAAGGAACAGTGGTCGGCGTGTCGTGCCCCAGGAGGTCCCTCTGCCGACAGTGAGGCCGTAGGGAAGGGCACAGTCCACTGCAGGAAGCGCAGGCTGCAGGGTAGAGATGGGAGGTGGCAGGAGCCGGATCAGGACAAGAACTCGGGTTCCGAGGGAAGGAAACGTACTGGGGAGACTTGAAGGGCCAGGCAGACACAGCGATGCACACACTCACACCGCGCCGTCTCCCGGACGGACGGATAACTCGGCAGCTAAGGAACAGGAGGGAAGCCGCCGTAACTGTAGTGCTCGCAGGAAAACGCAGCTGATCAGCGCTCTTCGGGGAAGGAGCGATTCCCTCTTCAAATTATGAAATTATTCCGGGGCGTTTTTACATAATTTTAAGTAACAGATTCATAGGATCCAGAAAAGGCGCTCATTTGCGTTGAGATTATGGTGAAGGCAGCATTAAATAGCATGTAAAATAGCTCGCGATGTTTGAGATGGGATCTGAGTGGTGATGGTTCCACAGGTGGTATTTACACGAGGAGACTGACGGATGCTGCGAAGCCGGGGTGGGACCGGCTGCTACAGTGTCCTTGGTGTCGATCCCGGACCCTGTGCAGCCCAGGGACCAGGGTGGCTGTTTTACCTGCGCTCGCTCTTTAAAAAAAATATATGTTTATTGATGTCAGAGAGGAAAGAGGAGGGGGAGAGAGAGAAACATCAATGATGAGAGAGAATCACAGATCAGCTGCCTCCTGCATGTCCCACACAGGGGATCAAGCCTGCAACCTGGGCAAGTGCCCTGACCGGGAATCAAACCGTGACCTCCAGGTTCACAGGTCAACAGTCAGCCCCCTAGCCACACAGCCGGGCCCACACTCACTCCTGTCACCTGTCACTGGACGCCCTGCAGAGTGGGCTGTAGGTGAAGTCTCCTCTGAGTGTGAGCTGCCCCCTGGTTCTGGGCCATCCCACTTCTCCACGTTCTCTATGGGTTAGTTTGTCTCCGTCACCTCCTTACATCCCCATGTGCCAGCCCGTCCATCCTCACGGCACAGATGGCTGCTTTCCAGGAGCCGCGTGTGGCTCTGGGACAGTCTGGGGCTCAGGTCTATGACTGTCCTTCCTGTGTCCTCTCCCTTCAGGCTCAGGGCATCCATGTGTCTCCTTCCCACTCACCGGATTTTCTCAGGACCCGCGGACCCCGACTTCCTAGATCAGATGCGCTCATGTTATCACCTCTGCTTGCTGCTCCCAGGGAAGGAAGAGAGGGCCAGGCCCACGTTTTTGATTTCCTTGAAATTTGTGCTAAAACCTGAATCGCACGCACACACATGCACACATTCACACACACATGCACACTCATGCTCACACACACTCATATGCACACATACACATGCATACACATGCATGCACACATACGCACACACTGCAGACAGCATTTTCAGGACGGGTCTGCATGCAGAAGACACTGAGGAGATAGGGAGCCATGACAGAGACTAGAGGAGACCCCAGCACCTGCCCACTCCCTGTGAGTGAAAGGCCAGGGGGCGGGGCTTCGGGATGGAGTGGGCGGGGCCAGGAGCCTGGGGCAGCTTCTCAGAGAAGCCATTTACTGATGGGTTTTTCAATAACAGTGCCTTGAGGGGAGGACACTTCCATCACATGTGGGTGCACCGTAGGCATCTGGGATGGGGATGGAATGACTCTGAAGTATCTTCTCTGTGCAAGTCTCGCCCAGAATGGATGAGAGTCGGTCGCGGGAATGGTGGGCGTCCCGTGAGGCCACACTTGCTGGGGAATGAAGAGCTGCATCGACCAAACACTGAGGGGCACAGAGACCGCGGCATCGTTAAGACTCGCTTTACACTACCCCGCTGTCTCCCGGCCAGAGTCCCACGAATTTGCTTAGTATTTGGGTCCTAAAAACAGCCAAACCCAACGTGCTCTGTGTTCCCAGCTCAGCAGGGCCTTTTCTCAGCAGTGTCTGCCGCAGGGAACACAGAGTCCCTGGCCGCCATTGGCTGGGTAGTGGTCGCCACTTTGCAGGCTTTGGCTGCTGTATTTCTGACCTGCCCTTGGGCCCACAGTGAGCAAACCGCATCTCCACGTGGGGCCCGTGACCTGCCCATCTGCGTGAGGCGCGCCTGGTGGGTGTGAAGTCTGTGCTCACGGCCTGCTCCCTGTCTCCGGGACGCCCTGACGGGGGAAGTGAGCTGGCAGCCGCAGCAGTGCCCGCAGGCCCGGAGGGGCCAGGGAGCCAAGCAGACGTGCCCACTGGGCTCCCTGTGGTCAGAGGGGAGCAGTGTCCTTGACCTGGACATGCCCCGAGGAAGTGGGCCGTCCGTCACCCCTTCCTGTGAAAGGGCGAGATGCAGGTGTAGGTGCCATTAACGGGGCTGCAGCGCCCCTCGCTGTGCCTGCCTCCTGGGCCTCAGTGAAGGGATGTGAGTGTTTCTCTTTGTAAAATGCCTCTGTTTTGTTGTTGAGGAAAAGGCCTGTTTCCTTTGACACGTTTGCTCAAGGACTGAGCCAATACTGTCCTCTCCTGGGATCACTTCTGAACCCTAACATGACAGACAACGGGGCTCCTAATTAAACGTCGCATGTTCAGAATATCCATGTGGGCACTCATGATTCTGAATAGCTCCCGGGTGGGATGCCATGGGCACCGCCAGGGGCCGATGGAACACGTGTGAACGTGGAGTAACGGACTTTAAATCATCCAGAGCCCAAGTGTGGGACCCACACTCCTCTCCTCCCGGACTTGTCCTCGGTCAGGATCACAAGCTCCCGTTGTGACATCATCCATTTAACACCCGAGAAGCACCGTCCGTCCACACCTCTGCTCTACGAAAGCAGCTCTTACCCCACATCGGGCTGACTTGCTCCACAGATGCCGTGCGATTAACATGTCCAGCTACAGCCCGGCCGGCGTGGCTTGGTGGTTGAGTGTCGACCTAGGAACCAGGAGGTCACAGTTTGATTCCTGGTCAGGGCACATGCCTGGGTTTCAGGCTTGATCCCCAGTGGGGGGCGTGCAGGAGGCAGCCCATCCATAATTCTCTCATCATGGATGTTTCTATCTCTCCCTCTCCCTCCCTGAAATCAATAAAAACATATTTTTAAAAATAAATAAATAAAATGTCCAGCTATCACACTTCATGGAAAAAAGGTCTGACATTCAAGTTGCGAGTCTTACAAAATATGCATATGTATGCAGATAGCTAAATGATGGAAATGGAGAGAAAATTCAAAATATGATTGGCACACTTTAAAAGCTCACATTTGAATTAAATGTTATCAGAAGCAAATGTATATCTACAGACACACATATTTTAAATTTATATGTAAAACAAGTTTATCTTGATGTGGGATTAAAGGAAATGAGCCACAATTATGTAAAACCTTCCCGGAAGCAAGCTTTTAATAAGCTCCTTCAGATGTGGAATTTTCCAACTGGAGCTCAGGTACCTGAGCTAAGTCCCTGGGCACCAGGCATCGGCCACCCTCCTGCACCCAGAGCTCCCTCCGCCCCGCCCAGCCTCAGGGGGGAGGGCAGGGCGCCTCAGGGGGGAGGGCAGGGCACCTCCGGGCTGGGACCTTCCCGTGCCTGGCCAGGTGCACTCTGGCTACCCCTCCAGGAGGGCAGGGAGCCTCCAACTTCTCAGGCTTCTGCCCTGCACCTGTGCCCCTGCCCTTACCCAGCCCTGCTCAGGAACGCTCTCTCCTGCTCCCTCCCGTCCCCATCTGCACACCCTAAGCAGGCCCACCCTCTGCCAGGCATGGCGGCCTGGCTCACCCTGCCTCTGAGAAGGGGAGAGGGGCCTGTAGCCCTGCTTTCCTGAATGCAGGCAGCTCTGAAGTGCGCAGCATGGCCTTCTGCAGCCTGGGCTTCCCAACCTTCCGATCTCCTCTTACGTTCACAGCGTCAAAACCGTCCCACCCCAGCCGGCGTGGCTCAGCAGACAGAGCGCCGGCCTGCGGACTGAGGGTCCCGGCTTTGGTCTGGTCAAGGGCACACGC